TCCTTCTTTCTTCTTCTTCTTCTTCTTCTTCTTCTTCTTCTTCTTCTTCTTCTTCTTCTTCTTCTTCTTCTTCTTCTTCTTCTTCTTCTTCAGTGACTTTCATTTATTTTGATACATCTTTTCCCCATGGTGATTTACTGGATCTTCAGGCCAATATAAGTAATTTAAAAATGTCTGAGTATTTGGGTACACACCTGTACAATTCCTCAGCAGTATCTTTCAGCAAGAAAAACACTGAAGGGTAAGACTAGACACAGTTACCAGGTACAGTGAAAATCTGCTGCAAATATTTCTGAGGTGAGAAGGCACCACAGGCTTTGCAGATGCCTCTGTCCATCCTCTTAGTCATTTGTGCCAACCATGGTCAACTCCACCGTGTTCTTCGATATTGCTGCCGACGGCGAGCCCTTGGGCTGCAGCTCTTTCAAGCTGTTTGCAGACAAAGTTCCAAAGACAGCAGAAAACTCTCATGCTCTGAGCACTGGAGAGAAAGGATTTGGTTATAAGGGTTCCTGCTTTCACAGAATTATTCCAGGATTTATGTGCCAAGGTGGTGACTTCACACGCCACAGTGGCACTGGCAGCAAGTCCATCTCCAGGGAGAAACTCTATGATGAGAACTTCATCCTGAAGCATACAGGCCTGGGTATCTTATCCATGATAAAATGCTGAACCGAACACAAACAGGTCCCAGTTTCCCATCTGCACTGCCAAGATGGAGTGGCTGGATGGCAAGCACGTGGTCTTCGGGAAGGTGAAAGAGGGCATGAGCATGGTGGAGGCTGTGGAACGCTTCGGGTCTAGGAACAGGAAGACCAGCAAGAAGACTACCATCACCACCTGTGCGCAGCTGTAAGGCGTGTCACTTGTGTGTACTGCCACCACCAGACCAGACTGTTGCTCTAGCTCAGGAGAGCGCCCTGTGCCCTACCTGCTCAAAACGCCCCATCATTTCTGCTCTTATCTCAGTTCTTTGGGGTCCGTGTTTTCCTTGCTTCCCTCCAAATGTAACTGGATTGCAGAGTTAAGTTTAGGCTTATGAATAAAGCTAACTAACTTTTTTTTTTTTTTTTTAAGGCACCATATACCTGTTCAACTAAGAAAACCACCCTTACAACACAGGATGATTTTATTTTTAAGTAGGACCTAGGACAATTAAGCTGCCAATTGAGTGCTGAATAGCAGAGCAATGTCCACAGTTTATGCCATGAATTCACAGGGAACAGGTTCCAACAACTCAGATTCCTTTCCATCGGTCCTCACAAAGTGTGCTTCTCTGGGAGGGGCAGGCTGGTGCTTCAGTTGAACCCAGGTACCTTTCTCTCTGGCTTCCTTCTTTTTCTGATCATTTTCCTTTACACATTTCAGGAAGCTATCAGGACTTTTTGAGTGGTTAATATGCTCAGTACACACATTAATCCTCTTGGCAAGTATCTTGCCCTTAACTTGCTTGTTTACAACAATGCCAACAGCATACTGGGTAGCGTTGTAGACTCTTCCCGTTTTGCCATGGTAACATTTGTGAGGTCTTCCTTTTTGCACAGTACCAATTCCTTTGATGTCTACAATATCACCCTTTTTGTAAATCTGCATGTATGTGGCCAAAGGAACAACCCCACGTTTTCTAAAAGGCCTTGAGAACATATACCAGGTTCTCCTCCCCTTGCCCTTTGTGTTAGTCATTTTGGCAAATTACTGGAAGATGGTGGTTCCAGCTGAAAGCTCCCCTTCTTTCCTGTAACCACATAAGCAGTAGGAAGATCAGGGCCCCTAGGACTGTTTGTACCACCAGCCTTGATTCCTGTAAAGGTGCTGGCTGGCTGATACCCATCTTTGCTTTTAAACCAACAGTGCAAATGTTCAGGTTGGTATAGAAAGTTTTGACCTGCCGTACCTCCCCCAACTCACCCAAAAAGAAGCTCAGGGATGCCCAGGGGTTGTGGAAAGGAAGGTGGCCGATGATGAGGTGAGCCCTCCCGAGTAACCCCAACACACTACCTACCAGGTTTCACACCCCAGAGCAACATCCTGCTGAAGGTGTGCTGCAGATTCCTTGGCCTGTTTCTTCTTTTAGAAAGTGGGTTTCCATTGCTACCCTGCCCACATGTACTTGGCTGAGTTTACCTTGTCCTTGTTCTGCTTCTGCTCCGGAGCCAGGACTTGGAGTCCTGTGTCAGCTGCTCCCAGCAGCCCCGCAGAGGAAGCCTCTGGCCGCTGCTCATGCCTTGGGCTTGTTCCTGCTGAGCAGATTGTCTGAGATGACAGCCAGCAACTGCAGCCCTTCTCTGCTGCTTGTTCTGTGCTGAGGACCCGGCCATCAGCCTGCGCACTCTGGACCAGGCTGAGGGGCGGCAGCCACTTCCCAGGCAGGGGCCTGCCTTGCCAAAGTGCCTTTTTTCTATAAAGTAATTCACCCTAGGAAGGAACATATGTATCTATTTTATTTCCTGCATTTTAATTTCCCCACGTTTGAAAGTGATAACATTTAAAGGAAAAACAGAACTGGTAACTATTTTCCTATTCTTTTAAAAAAAAAAAGTTTAAAAATTCTTTTACTCATTTACTTATTTGGTATAAGGTCTTGCTCCACAGCTCAGACTCATTGTGATCCTCCTGTCTCAGCCTCCCAAGTGCTGGGATTACAGGCGTGCACGACCACGCCTGGTTTTACTGGCCAGCTCAGCATGCGGACCGGGAATCAAACCTGGGTCCTTTCACTTGCCAGACAGGCACTTAGACCACTGAGCTATCTCCCTAGCCCATGTTTTCCAACTCTTTTAAAGAGTAATCATATGTAGTCCTTTATACAGATCAGACCTCCTTTATACAGATCAGACCATTGTTGGAATGGAGCTCTGTGTGTATTGAATGAATTGATAAATACTTGAAAAGAGCCCCCTGTTAGAGTGTGAGGGGCAGCAGGGACACAGTTATCACCACTGGCCCTTGGTTTCGGAGATGACCAAATGAAGATTCCAAGACACAAAAGGACCTAGGAATCCAGGAGTGACCGAAATCCTCATCTCCATTCCATTTTTTCCTGCATTTTCCATTAGCTACATGGTTGTTCTTTGGCCCCATCAGAAGGAAACGCACCATCGCAGGCCCCTTGCGCCTGCACATGGCAAAGCTGAGGCTGGTGTGGTGCAGGGCTTCAGGGAGGGTGTGTGAGCGAAATGGTTGCTGGTTCAAGTCCGGCCTCTGCCACTTCCTGTCTGAAAGGCTTTGAAAAAGTGAGCTCCTCTGAGCCTGGATTCCCCACCTTCTATAAAGTACAGAGTACTCGGCTTACAAAATGTCCTGAGAAATATTTATGCGACAATAACCACAGTGCACCCGAACCAAGGCCTGGTCTCACTGTTGGTAATACTGATACCTGATCTCTGCTGCAAGCACTTCTTCTACTGTGCTACGTCCCCGGACCCTGGAACAGAGCTCAGGAGCCCCCAGGGCAGTCCAGATCTGGCCTTTGCCTCATTTTTGTGAGGGCTGTGAGCCAAGAAGGGTTTTTATATTTTTAAAGGTTTGAGAGGAAGAGGAAGAGGAACAAGGGCAGTACTTACTGTCTAGGCCCTGGCAAGGGCAAGGACCCGGGTTCGATCCCTGGTACCGCATGCTGTGCCAGCCCTGGAATCCTGGGCACACCGTGCCAGCCACCAAAACCAGGCATAGTGGTGCTCACCTGTAATCCCAGCACTGAGGAGGCCGAGACAGGAGGATCACTGCGAGTTGGAGCTGTGTAGTGAGACCCTGTACCAAATAAGTTTTTTAAAAATTAAAATAACTAAAAGGATTTCTGACCCCACCTCTGGAGCCCAAGATAAGGTGCTTGTTTGCAGATTGCAAGCACCCTACCACCACCACCACCGCCGCCGCCACCACCACCACGGGTGTCCCTTAAACTCTCCTAAGGGGAAGGTTTCTGTTGAGGGATGCAGAGAGAGTCAGAGGTGGCAGGCTCTGCGAGCTGTCCCGAGGTCCCATCGGCCAGCACTTCTCCTGCAGGCCTCTCCCGCCTAACTAGTCCAAGCACCTTCTGTCCCCAAACAAGTCTCCGCTCCGGAGGACAAGTACCTCTCCCAGGACTCTTACTGATGCAGCCTGGAGCGGATTGCCCCACCCCTGGCAGTGGTGGCTCAGCAGATGTCTGAGGAGCCCCTGGGCGGATGCTGCGGCCGGTGCCAGCCCACCTGTGTCCCAAGTCTCCTGGACAGTTTAAGCCTTTGTGGCCAGCAGACAGCAGTCTTGCCCAGTGCCAGGTCCAGGGCTTGCGCAGGCAGCAGAGCACCGACAGTTGTCTTCATCTCGCTAATGAGCACATGGGCCTGAATTACTGAGCAGCTGAAGCCCTGTGCTGGCTCTTCTGTGGGGTCCCTTTGCGCTGAGAGAGGCCCTACATACCCTGCCCCCTCTTCCTCCTTCCTCCACTCCAGAAATACCTGACAAGTGGCCCAAGGCAGAGGCCAGAGCCATGGAGATGCACTGTGGTGTCACGATGCGCGGCCAAGGGGAGTCAAGCGCACCGTGCACGCGGGTCACTGGTGCCCTCGCGGTCGGTGCTCTCTGTCCTCCAGGGCGGGCGGGGCCAGGCGCGCCCTACAGAAGCGCGACCCAGCAGGGCTGCTCAGGCCAGCTCCCTGCTCACTTGCAGAACAAAGACATGTCTGCTCTCTCTCTTCCTTTCTCCAGAAATCTTTTCCAACAATGAAAAAGACTTTGCAATTTTTCCCCAATTATGTAAATAAGTACCCTATTTTAAAATTTTAACTAACACGAAAAGTGCAAGAAAATAAGTTAACCTCTTGAGGTCCCACTCCACTGAATTGTCACCACCAATAATTTAGTGTGACCATCATCCTTGTATCCATCATCTGGCCAGAGAGATACCTCAGTGGCATAAGTGCCTGCCTTGTATCCTTCATCATATACATTTGCATGCACACACGCGTGTACACACACACGCTCATGCACACTCACACATGCTCACACATGCTCACACATATGCGCACAAGTACACACTCATACACACACACGCTCTCATACACACACTCTCACACACTCTCACACAT